TGCTTTTGAAATTTCTTTGATAAAGCAAGGAGTCTTTGAGAAACCAGGAGAAGAATAAAATGTTAAACATCAACTTCAGGAATAAGGTGTCATAGCAACAGGACAGAGAACTATCCAGAATGATCTAAGAAGGTTAATCCTGCTACAAAACTTTGTATAATTTCTATAAATTTAATTCAATGATATTTGTTAACTTCTTCTAATTACTTTGATCATCTATATTTTTTACTCCTTCACACACCTCAGCTTTCCACCTTCTTCCCTCTCGTAGTCCTCTAAACTTTACTTCTGCCTCAGGACTCAGTTTATAGGTCAGTTCTACACTAATCCCCTCCCTGCACCTTCCCTGTCTTAAATTTATCACGTTATTGTTATTTTTGGTTATTTGTTTTCCCTCTCTTCTGAAAACTCCGGGTGCTCACTTTTAAACTCTTGGTGAACAGCTCTCAAGCAGTATTTCTCATGCAGTTGACATTTGGTAAATCTTCACTGAATGACTCAGTGAATGCACCTCTGCCTTTTTCTGTTCTCCTCAGAAATAACAAGTCTAGAAAACATGTGTACTTGATTTAGAGGAAAAGGGAAGTCTAAAGAAAAAGACAAATCAGGGTGATTCTTTTTCACACATCAAAGGTGGAACGGGTAGGGAAGGCAAGTGGAAATGCAGGTGGTAGTCATGAATTAGAGAAGCCCTGGTGGCGCAATCGTTAAGCACTGGGCTACTAACCGAAAGGTTGGCGGTTTGAATCCACCCAGCAGCTCCATGGAAGAAAGACATGGTGATCTGCTCCCATAAAGATGACAGCCTATAAAACCCTACAGGACAGTTCTACTCTGTCACATGGGGTCACTATGAGTCAGAATCGACTCAACCGTACCTTACAATAACAACAACAATCATGAGTTTGAGTCCCTGGGTGGTGAAGCGGTTAATGCATGGCTGCTAACCAAAAGTTTAGAGGTTCAAGTCCACCCAGAAGTGCCTCAGAATAAACGCCTGGCCATTTACTTCTGAAAAACCAGCCATTGAAACCCTATAGAGCACAGTTCTGACACACGTGGGGTCACCATGAGTTGAAGTCAGCTTGATGGCAACTGGTTTGGTTTTGGGTTTTGGTTTAGTCATGAGTTAGAGGGGAGGCTTGGGAAAAAGTAGAAAGGTAAAAACTAAGAGAAAAAGGAGAAAGCAGGAACGAGTATAAGGGAGCTATCCTGAGAAAGAACTTTACGTCCAAATACCTGAGTGGTTCCATCACATCAACACTGCTTGCACATTCATCTGTCATGCTCAAAACACATCAAGAGACATCTGCATTTTTTAAAATTATAAAGATCCTAGTCTCCTAACCCTAAATCAGGGGGATATACCATGAGATCTGTGCTGCTTGTGGGTATAAAATGTGGTTTAAAATATGAGATGTGGAAATGTAGAACAAAAGTTTAACT